TTTTTCATCGATAGTCTGTAATTGGAACCATAACTCTTATTTATTCAAATTGTATTAATATGTAAATACCAAATGTAACTTATATCATCATTAAATCTTATCTTATAAAATCAATAAAACTACAAAATCGTTAAAATTCATGGCTCCGCCATATTGCTCAGATACACAACTAGTCATATCATATGATGACGTGTCGATTATCAACCTGAAGAAGGCAAAAAACTTTTTCACCATCCTTTGATAAGATGGAATGTCGACAACCACCTTCATATATTAATTCCAGCAACAAACTCCAAAGTTCGCATAAACAACAATGGAGTCCTCTGTAAAACCTGCTGTCATTGGGATCTTAGCTCTTTTCATCTGTGTCCATTTGGCAATGGCGGATGTAGGGATCTTACCTCGGTGTAGTTGGGCGGGACTGTACAACTTCGGCGACTCCAATTCCGACACCGGCGGGATCTCTGCAGCATTTACGCCGGTTTCATCACCCTATGGTATGACGTTCTTCAAGAAGCCCGCCGGAAGACTCTCCGACGGCCGCCTTGTCCTTGACTTCCTTGGTATCGCTAATCACCAATTGTACTACTTTGAATGCTAATTATTTCATTTTCGATTTTAACATATACGTACAAAAAACCCTAAAAGTTAAGCTCTAATTGTTGTTGAAGCTGAATACATCGGGCTACCTTACGTGAGTGCATATCTGGACACGATCAACACAGATTATCGCCATGGCGCTAATTTTGCAACAGGAGGATCAACGATTCGTAGGCAGAATGAAACCATATTCAAGGGTGGAATCAGCCCCTTTTCTCTCGATATCCAGACTGTTCAATTTACTCAATTCAAAGCTCGAATCATAGATCTATGGAGTTCCGGCCATCCGGCAGCCGATAAAAGCCAGCTCCAGAGGCCCGGCGACTTTTCAAAAGCGCTGTTTACCATCGACATTGGCCAGAATGACCTTTCGGTTGGGTTTCGAACGCTTTCCAAACAGCAACTTCGTGCAGCAATACCTGATATTATCAACGAATTCGCCACTTCCCTTCAGGTAATTAGCAACTTAACGAGCTTAACGAGACTACAACTTATTCCGTTGGCTATACATAACTTTATAATAATGACTTAATGATAATAAAAAATTGCTTATTTAGTAAGCTTCTAAGAAACTTTCTATACCCAAGTTTCTTCCAAAAATTTCCCTCCCACTTAAAAACAATGTCAATTAAAAAAACAAAAATCTTCTCGATGTACACACAGATTAATCAATACATACAGTTTTATCAGTACAAAACTTAATGAAAAATCAACCAAACAACCTCTAACTAATGATGTTGATGGCAGCACCTGTACGAGCAAGGGGCGAGGTCGTTTTGGGTTCATAACACAGGACCAGTCGGGTGCTTGCCCGTGTCAACATCTAATGTACGAAATCCCGAGCCTGGTTATCTTGATCGCTATGGGTGCATCAGGTATCAGAATGATATGGCCATGGAGTTCAACCGCCAACTCAAAGCTCGAGTTATCAAGCTTCGTTCAGAACTAACCGAAGCCGCGATAACATATGTCGATATCTACACCGCCAAATACAAGCTAATCAGTAGCACCAAAGAATATGGTAGTTTTACTTAAAACAGTGAAAAGAACCAATAATCGATCTTTAAAGCAACTCAAAATAAGTAATATGTGATTCGTTGACAGGATTTTACGAGCCGCTTAAGGTATGTTGCGGTCATCTTGAGAAGAATGTTCGTATCTTCTGTGGGACAACGGGAATTATGAACGGGACTACGGTTCATGGTGATGCTTGTGCGAATCCTCCGGTGTACGTGATCTGGGATGGGGTACATATGACCGAGGCTGCGAACCGATGGGTGGCAAATCAGATACTGAACGGATCGTTATCGGACCCGCCGATCCCGGCAACCCATGCCTGTTACAAGCATTTGTAGTCCTATAATTACCCAACAACTATATTAGATTGAACCATATATACTTGATATCTTGTGTGAGCCGTTGGTGTTTTTAAGGTTAAGTTTGTTTCGTAAAATATTTTGAGAATAAAATTAATTAAAATCTGTAAAAATTGAATTAGAAATTGGAATTTATCTCTTTGGACTTTGGTTTGTGGTATATAATTTCGGAATTGAAATAAAATAATAATAATTTAGTTAAATATTACCATTTTTTACAATTTATTTTTTAAATTGTTGCTTAAAATAATTTATTATTATACGGATATTTTTGTTTTTTTCCCATTTTTTTATGATGGAATAAAATTTAATTCAAGTAAAAAGTCATAAAAATAAATATTTTAACCGATAGAATTTTCTAATTCTGTCATAAGTTCATAACAGAATTTATTATAATTTTAAGCTAAAGACAATGAAAATATGAAGTAAAAGGAATCCCACAATTTGTTCACATATTCTGGTTGTTTGTTTTTCTCTTCTTAATAGTTTCATTAAGAGACAACCTCAAGATCATTAAGAGGTGAATCTTGTTTGGCAAAAAAAATCCGTCTTCTAATGGTTTTAAAACCCTCTGAATGATTTTGTATCTTAAATCTCTCTCTCTTAACCATTAAGATCCCTAATTTCGTTGAACACAATTACCAAACAATTATATTTTATTTTGTATTATACCATGAAAGACTCGTAATCATTCTGACCACTTAATCATTTTACACCAAATCATTCAGCAATTATCAAACAGCCCATCTGTCTGAATACGGAAACCAAACACGATGGTAAAATATGAAATTCTAAAATCCAATATATAATTCAAAATACATTGTCTGAACCGAGTTTTAAAAGACTGAGACGTGTCATGGTAGTGAGATCTAGACTCAAGCCTTATGAACCACGATGAAGCCACTACGTTTTTTCAAAGCGTGACTTATAAGGACAAATTTATATATCATATATATAATTATATGTATATATATGTTTAATACTATAACTCACTGAGTTAATGAAATTAAATAATTTAAACTAGTTTATATAATAAAAAAATTAAGACCAAAAAAATCAAACATTACGTTATAAAAACAACATATTACACAAATCTTATTCAACAATGTACCCTGAGTTTAGGGATGGATCCAATCTTTAAGCACCAGGGAAAAGACTTTCAATCAAAAACCAAAAACCTTTGTTTGCTAGCTTAAATTTTCCATTTTCACTCTCGGCTTACATGGTTTTTCCTCAGTCCCATATGATCATATGCTTCCCTTCCCCAAATCCAATCCAACGTGCCTCATCTCATTAAATTCTTAGATCTGCCATTGCCAGAGTCAACGAGAGTTGTCACAAAAAGCCTTTTAAAAGACTCGGTTAAGGCATTCGAATTTTTGATAAAAACGAAGTAAATGAAATTTATCCCCATCTTACCCTTGTTTAAAGGGTTTTTAGATTTTCTAAAATTTAAATATTTAATAATATCAGAAAAATAAAATCAGAATTACAAGGAAAAAAATATAAAAGAGTAAATTACAAATTGCTCCTATGGTTCATATCTTCTACCAATATCGGTCCTAAAATCAAAATAAGTACAAACATAGGACTCGTGGTTTACACTTTTACACGTCTCGAGTCCCTGCCACCAACTGGGGAAAAAAATTCTATTAGCTTAGTTAAATGAGTAGTATTTTGGTCTTTTTCACATTCTTTTTTTCTTTATCCTCTTTTTTGAAAGACAACCATCAATAACAACTAAACAGAAAGAGTAACCGAGTTCACCGGAAACAGGGCGAACAAACAAAAGCACGTTCACCTTCTACAAGGCATAGAAAGGAGGGAAGCAATAAAAAGCCAATGAAAAGAGCGTGGAACGACAAAATAAAATAAAATAAACGACTAATCGGGAGAAGCCGGATTACAACACCACAAAAGCCAAGACCTAACAATTTATTTTGACACGATGAGAAAGTCAACAAAATGAGACAAATTGGATCTCAAACAATAGGTCACCATCCTCGCGCAAGCTACCAAACACGAGTTTATTCCAAGAACTCCAAATTAAAAAGACGGAAAACCAAATAACGATCCTATTTTATCTACACACATGTCAACCACCCTCAATGATTTATGTTGGAGGAATGATTGATGTTGGTTTCACTTCTGTGTAGTAGCTCGTGACCCTGATTTATACCAGAACTTTTTGAAGACCCTGATTAGAAATTGGAGCTTTTAGTAGACCCATACTAGAAGCTGGAAATTTCTAAAGACTCCTATGAAAACCTGAAGCTTTCTGAAGGCCCTGAATAAAAAACTGGAGCTTTATGTGCACATTGTGGGAAGGTCGAAGCTTTTTGAAGGCCCTGCAAGAGATGAAGACAAAAAACAGTGAAGAAAACCAAAATACCCCTTATTTAGTTGAGTTAACAGATTCTTTATTTCGTCAACGACAAAGACTCAAAATGTACAAAAATGTAAATTACAAATCTCGTCTTTGTATTTATTATAATTTTGAGACTACTCTGAGTAAAGTTGTGTACCACATGGACCAAAATTCTAATTTACTAAAAAAAAAGGTCGTCTCATCCATTTCTCTCCCTCCGGATGACCTTCTCTCTCCTTCCCTGTAATCTGCTACATCTCTCATCTATTTTTTTTTACGAGTCTAAAGCTCAAAGCTACAAACCACTCCTCACTCACTATCGGCTGCCTCTCGCCCTCTCCCTACAGACCCACTCCTCAGTCCTCATTGGTCGAGTCGTGGTTCTCGTCTCTGTCGCCTGTTGGTCCCTCCTCACTTGGGTTGAATTCAAAAAAACTCTTATCAAACATTGCTTCAATTGCCAACTAGCATGATGATTCAGGTATTACAACAGAGTTGAATAATTACTTGAAAGATAAACTTTTGCCTAAAGACATAGAGCTTAATTTGCTACTTTGGTGGAAGACAAACGGGTTTAAATACCCAACATTTCAAATGATAGCTAGACATATTAGTTATTTCTATTTTTATTGTCGCCTTGAAGTCTGCATTTAGTACCGATGGAAGATTGGCAACTCCACGTTGTAGTCGACTTCATCCAAAAACATTGGAGGCTCTAATGTCTGATCAAAGTTGGCTATTTAATGAAATGCAAGGTAACCTTATATTTATTTTTAGTTATAAAATTTTATTTTAGTTATCTATACTACCTTATTAAGCAAATTTCATCAAAGTCTTAAAGTCTTAAGTTTTGAAATACCGAAAATGCCCTTAAACCTATTTTACACGCCTCCCTTCCCTTCCCTCAATATATGTCTCTTCAATTTTTCCCCCAATATATGTCTCTTCAATTTTCCCCCAATATATGTCTCTTCAATTTTCAATTTACCCGGCTCCTTGCCCCAAGAACACTCCTCCCTTACCACCTCCCGAGACGACGCTTCCCTTCCCCAAGATGTTCCCTTTAAGATTTAAGAGTCGTCCATCGGGCCGAATCGTTCCTCATCACTCGCTTCACAATCGCCTTCGTCGTTGGCCGAATCGTTCCTCATCACTCGCTTCACAATCGCCATCGTCGTTGGCCGAATCGTTCCTCATCACTCGCTTCTCAATCGCTTCCAATCGGCTTCTGTTTTTAGGTATGTTCTTGTGTTTTTTTCCAATCTTACAATCGGCTTCTCAATCGCTTCCAATCGGCTTCTGTTTTTTAGGTATGTTCTTGTGTTTTTTTTCCAATCTTACAATCGGCTTCTGAATCTCCCTTAATCTCAAGTACTGTAGTGATTAATTGTGTTATTCTGCGTTAACAACCCTAGGATTTATGTTGAAGAATCTCAACAATCTTTAGCATTTTTGTTTTATATTTAGAATAGGACGTAGAGAGCAACATAGTTATAGTAGTAAAAGATGGTTATGGCTTTGTCTAAACATGTATATGTTTCTTGTTTCATTGGAGACCGAATCCTGTGCTTTGATTTTTTGCTTAGTTACCAAGCTTCTTGTTCCTGGTCTTTCCTCCATTTCTGCTGGCTATTGGTCTTGCCTCTTCAATTTCTGCACTAATTTCAGGTTAGTGATTGATTTTTTCATTGATTTGGTGATTTCTTAGATTTTTGCAAATTTGTTGATTGCTGCAATTTCTTGCTGATATTTTTGCCTATGTTAATGAACAAATTTCGATTATTGATTGCTTGAATTGTTGTTGATTTTTTTTTCCTCTGTTCGTTTTCTTAGACAAATGCTAATTTCTTACACAAATATTGATTTCTTACCTATGTTCAATTTTTTGCCTATGTTTTAGACAACCTTGTTTGATTTTGCTAAATGCTAAAGCATTCCTAGGAAATATTGAAGTAGATAAACAAGTACTTAGACAACTAGACACTGGCGAACTCAGAATTTTTCTAAGAGGGGGCACCTTTGAGGTCAACATATAACTTGAGATTTTGGACACATGCCACAGTTTTTGGCTATACACATATTGAAGTTTCTACTTTCACCTTTTTGTTTCTATCAGTTTCAGAGTTACGCATGATTTTTGAGCATTGTATTCAACACGTAGATCAACATATAACTTGAGATTTTGGATACATGCCACAGTTTTTGGCTATACACATATTGAAGTTTCTACTTTCACCTTTTTGTTTCTATACTATGGATTCCATATCTACACTATCTTATACAAGACTCTTAAATTCAGAGTAAAATCTATGAAACATTAAGTACAAACCATTAATATGCTATGAATTATGGTTTGTTTTTTGAAAGAATGTTCGCAGCAAAAGATTCGAGCAGTGGTGTATGGCAATAAAATTTTCCATTGGAGAAACAACTATTACAATTTAATCTTATTGTCTGATGTGAAGTGAAAACATAAGAAAACTATTACGTTGACAAAGTGCACAATCTGATTCTAACTTCATCTCTCTCTATCTATATAAACTATCAAAATATGTAATGGGAAGAACGGTCAGGATAGATGGTGCAGCCATCATAAACATTAAGCACTTACATAATATACATTCTTTTACAAAGAAATGAAAGAGTAAAAGTTGTAGCCTCTATTACATTCTGTCAAGCTCCTAGCTTTCAGAACCCTATATTTGCATGCTTAAAAAAGAAAAGTAATATATGCTTTTCATGTTAACGATTTGTATTCATCATAAGCTTTCTTCTCCACCATATAGATTTTTCTCCTACTTGCAGCATGACCTTCTTGAAAATATATTCATGCCACCCTTATCGTATATAAATAGGCAACAGATAACAAGTAATGTATCTCAAAAATCATCATACCTTCCCAATTGTGTATTAATCCATTTGAGTAGAAGGTCAGCAGTCTTTCCATCTTCAATGGGATGAATTTCACCTTTTTCTTGTTTACCGTTCCGGCGACCATATGTTGCTTTTTTTTAACATATAATCAATATTCTGCCATAACTCTGAACTTCACAGCATAAGCATAATAATCTGGACAGCCTTTCGATTATTCTATTCTCACAAACAATTAATGTGTTGTTGCTCAACCTTGATCTTGCATACTTGAAAAGAACCTTTTCCAGAATGTAATAATCTGCCAATATGTTGAAAAGAACCTTGAAAAGAACCATTATTTCCCATTTTGGTGCATATATATATATATATATATATATATATATATATATATATATCCTTCTTTCTGTTCAAGAGAGACTGTGATAGACATGAATTGGCAAAACAACCAGTTATACCTTTTTAGGTGGTTGTGCATAGTGAAAACGTTGGCCTTCTAGCTGTAACGAAAGTGGGAAGCAGACGAGTGGTTCAGATGTCTGCAGGCTTCATGTTCTTCTTTTCTATTTTAGGTGTGTTTCTCTGTAATCATCTTTAT